TACTTTCCTAGACTTTCCGTTATCCAAGAACTCCAGTGCGGCTTCTAGAGCCTTCCTTGCTCCTATTATCTCTGCATCCAGCACCTCTACCCCGTGCTTGATGCCACTTCCTTTGCCTATGTCTTTCCCATCCTTTTTCAGAACGAAACCCCAGGCAGAGCGTCCGTGTCCTTCCGATGAACCATCTGAGTATGCGCAGATGTCCGTTCCTGTCACGTTATTGATCCATCCAACGCAGTCATTGCGTTCCGTCAGCCTTGAGCCTAACTTTTTAGGGTAGACTACCGGCGCCAGGGCCTCGGGGGCCTCTGCTTCCGGGAGCTCTCGATAAGCACGCTGTAACCGTGACATTTGGATCTCTGGTCTGGCAGAGAGTTTGGCGGTCTTTTTGTACTTTCGAGTGCCGAAATTCGGGCACACGGAAGCGCGGATCCTCAACGGGTGTCTATCATCAAGGGTCTTAAGCCTTGCCGAAAGTCGGAGTCGGTTTCCCTCAAGTATGACCTTTGCCGGCGGGATTCCTCCTTCTCTGTGAACGGCTACGTTTGGCGTTGTCCTCATCACTGGCAGTGCAGCCCGCAATCCCATCAGGTTAGCTTTGTCAATCATGCTGCAGAGGTTTGAGGTAGATGACGTGACCATTCCTCGTGTGGTTGGGCGTTTGGACCCTGGCCACCAGACATCAGATCCAAAAGTTGCTAGAGACAATGCACATGTCTACTGTACCGACTAACGGCCCGGGGGCTGCTCCCCGAGAGGTAGAGTTGAAGCGGCGCATATGCTGTGCAGCTTTCATCGCTTTGCCGCACCAGGTGGTTACGTGGTGTTTGAAATTGAGTCGCGGATCCAAATGTACGCCAAGCCAGCGAATGTGATCAGCGGGCTCGATGAGATTTCCATTTACGTGAACCCCAACTGCTTCTTCTCGGCGTCGTCCTGGGAATTGGATGACTTCAGACTTTTGCGTTTCGAAGGCAACAGCATTTTTCTCTGCCCACTCGAGAAGATGGTCTACCTCTCTTTGTGCAGCGCCGGCAGATTCAGCAACTGTGCGTCCAAACCCCAGAATTCCAATATCGTCGGCGTAGCTAAACCTCGATCCTGGGTTGCCTCTTTGCATCGGCTCCGCCATGTACAGAAGGAATAGTAATGGCGAAATTGGTGATCCCTGGGGGACTCCGCAGACCAGCTCTTTCTGTGTGGTGACTCCACCGGAGAAACGCACTTGTACCTTCCGATGTGTGAGGAATAAAGTCGTCCATCGGAGGATAGAGTCTGGCCATCCCTGGGCTTGCATGCGTCTAACCAAGCGATTGTGGAGCACTGCATCGAACGCTCCTTGGACGTCTAAGGTCACAAATGTCGAGGCCCATCCCTGGGAGCGTGCTTCTTCGACGTCATGGACTACGCAGGAGACCAGGTCCGTTGCAGATCGCTTTGGGAGCGCGCCGAATTGTTGATGGCCCACCACATCGTAAATGATTGCAAGGTGTGCCATTCGCTTGGCCAGGAGTCTTTCTAATCCTTTGCCTAGGCACGAGAGTAGAGCGATTGGTCTCCAACCTTTGATTGAAGTTGGGTCCCGATTTGGCTTTTCCAATAGTACCACTTCTGCAAGTTTGAAGCAAGATGGATGCGTGCCGAGCCGTATGCAAGCTTTAAAGAGCTGCGTAACATACGGTCCGATTGTCTTCCAGCAGGTCTCAAGAAGTTCATCTGTGACTCCATCTGCTCCTGGGGCTGCCTTAGTACAGCCAATGGTACAAGTTCGCACCTCGTTGTCCGATATGTCGTCTTCCCAGGGTATCCGGTTATTACTGGGAGTAGTGCACGTAGGAAGATCGTCCGACGCTTGGTGACGTGTAAGAAGAGCATCACGGAGAACTGTGGCTCGCTCATACGGGTCGGTGATAACGGAACCGTTATAGTTGAGCGGCGGAGGAGGTCTGACCTGTCTATGGTTGGCCGAGCGCATCAGCTTGAATATGTCTGCCGGAGATGTCATCTCTTCGACTTGGCGTGTCTGGTGCTCCTTCTTGGCGGCTGTGATAGTCTCACGTAACTTCTTCGCATAGATAGCCCGCTGTGAGAGTGATGTTGAGGCTCTGTATTCGGCGTGTGCGGATTTGCACCTAGGAGTCCACCATGGTGCAGATTTTCCGCTTTCCTTTCTGACCCGGGTTCCAGTTGCTTTAATGGCCTCCGTGAGATGGAAGCATATCTCCTGAGCGTATGCATCCACTTTCTCTATTGTACTCAAATCTGAGGGCGGATATACCCATTTTGCAATGGCCCGCGCAAACTTTGGCAGATTTCCCTTGGGTACCTTGATCTTTGCTGGAGCCTTGTCACTTGTAACGTTTGCTGCAGGTACGATTCCGCGGATCGGAAGATGGTCGCTGGTCATACACTCCTCCCGATCGACCCAAGCGCGGGCTCCAGATATGTTCGTCCAGGCGAGATCCAGAGTATTGCCAGCTTTATGGGTCGGCTCTCCAATTATAAGGCAAGAGAGATTGTGGTTTTCTGCCCACCTCTCTATCTCATCACCCTGTCCATACGGCCGAGTTACTCCTGGCTGCCAGGCAGCATGCACTGAGTTGAAGTCCCCGGCTGCAATGGATTTCGCAGAAGGTTTCCAGTCGAAAAGCGGGCGAGCAGCAGTCGAGTCTTTAGGGGCCTTATAAACGTTGAGAAAAGTGATTCCATTGACCTTTACCCAGCAGTAATCACCAGTAGGTGTGGAACTAGGAAATAACTGTTCCGCTAATATTACATTTTTGGACTTTCGAGTGTATGTCACAGCCCTCGGTCTGACATCTACACCTCCGTGCGGTATATGACAGATATACCCTGGGTGTGATATGGTTTCTTTTGATCTCAAATTCCATCGCGGTTCTTGAATTAGCACTACATCTACGCCTAGCTCATAAGCTCGAGAAAGCGCAATGTTGTGGGTTGTGCCACCCCTGCCTACGTTTATTGACATAAAACTTAGTGTTGAAGGGGGGGGCGAGGAGGCACCCGTAGGGCGCCCTTCACAAAGCTTCTTCAGGGTTCAAGGCCCCAAAGCCCGAACCCTCAGCCATTGCTGTGTCTGTCGAAGATGTGTCCTTACCAACAGCTGGAGAAGCTGGTCGGGTCGCTCTTGCGGCAGCTGTAGCAGCCTCTGCGGCCTTAGTTGCAGCTTTGGCCCTGGCGACGGCCTGATATTCCCGTTAGCCAGCTTGTCGGATCGTCACAAGTTGGTCCTTAGTGGCTGGGCCAGACCTGTTTTGGGAATGATAGGTTTGATACTTTCGAGATGTTTTCGACTTTTGAACGTTTGTTGGAGCTAGGACCGAGGTTTTGGCTGATTAGCCGAAAGGGCTTCTATTGTCCATGAGTCAACGACTCTCCCAGCACCCGGCACGGAGATGGTAGATTAGATCAAGCCGGCCTCGATTGTTACGAAGAAGGGAGATATAGATGAGCATGCGCTTCTCATGTGGTCCCGGTGTCTAGACCTCGCCTGGCTGGGGCTGCAAGTTTTTTGAGAATATTTCTTACGCACGCAGTTTCCATTGCTACCATAATTTTTTAATCTTTAATTTTTGGGTAGAAGGTCCCGTGGAAATTGTGGCTGAATTCCACGGATAAACACTGAGCTGAATGGCTATTCATCATGGCCAATATATCAATGGTTTTTGAAGTAACAAAAGAGGACGGGAGCACTGTGAAAGTAGTGGACTGGGCCAGCGAGGAACCTAATTTGCTAGATAGTCTATGACTCAAGTAGTACAAAATGCACACATCTCTCTCTTATACTTGAATTCATTTAACTAAATCATCCACTCTATGGGTTCATGTACTATCGTCATTATTTACAAAGGAGGAAACCAATTTGGCGAAAACCCCCTGATGCTGTCTTTTTATGTTCCTATCAATTTATTTGGTTTCCCTCCAGGAAGTACAGTGCACACTTTTCAGCCCGTGTGGATTCCATCCTCTCCCCTTCCAGATCTATTTACTTTATCCGACATTGCTACCTCGACTTCTCCTGCAAGTCGAAACTGTTTTATCCACCCTTTGCTTAGTATCCACTGTGTAATTCTGGTCATGTTTCTGGGCTGTTCATCATGGCTTCAAATGACCTGTCTTTAGCTCGTCGGAGAAAGTCGCCTCTTTCATTTGCCCACTGCGGACACGCCAACACCATGAGCTTGGTGTTTTGTGACGGATATCCACATTGACAGCTTGGTTTTTCTGCTCCGGGTACTTTTCTTCTGCTCAGGTAAGAATTGAGTCCGATGTGCTCGCTCCTTAGCTGAATGGCGACACTGCTTTGGGCCCTGGTTAGGTTACGGTGGACTCTTAAGGGTGTATCTTTGAAGTTCATTTTGACGCTGCCTGTTTGTTTATCAGTAAATATATTTGCCGCTTTCCAATGTTCTGGATCGGCTGATGCTGGTCGGCCAGGGCGCTGTTTCCTATTCTGGCTTGTCCATGAATTCCTCCACTCCTGAAAGGCCACTATCTTTCCAGCTTCTTTTTGCTTCCCCTTGTCCTTTTCCCTTCCGCAAGTTCTTGTCCATTCAGCGATATCTTTACTCCTATTCAAGGCATATGGAGTTTCTCTTCCGTCTCTCTCATACTTAAAAATACTTTGGGTTTCGCTCAGAATAATAATTACGTAATTTAAGGTACGACTAGTCTGAACTGGTAAGGTAGGGTCTTGGCGCCGTTAGGTTACCGGCTGAACGTGACGCAAGGCTCCTCAGCCGGAGACAGAGCAATCGTCGTGGCAGGAGTTACGTGTCTACGACTTTGGAAAAATAGAGATGTGGGAGTACAATACGGATCAATATCTAAGATCTTCCTGCAGAAAATTACAACAATGCATCGTTGAAACAATTTGGATCTAGCTGAGACTTGCGGATAGACCACGCAGTATTACGGCTTCGATTCATCTGCCGTCAGCGCCATTCAGCCAATAATTAGCCCCTCAAATTTTCTCTAGTATGGTCACCATGAAGGGACAATTATTATCTGTCAGACCCTTAATACCTTCGGTACAAACAGCAAGGACGTTCGCAGCACATCGCTTCTATCATCGTATAACATCATCTACCGGTGGGCTCTTCCCATCAGATTCAGTCATACGAGCCACACGGAGACGCATTTGGCCGATTGGATATACATCATTTTCAAATTCAGTGGCGACAAGAAATGCATCTTTTGTCAGGATTCTTCCAAAACTACTCCTTAAATTCGCCCGAATACCAGCCCTATTTGGGGGAGCTATGATCACTGGCCTAGCCTACGTGCAGTATCAAGCAACCCGTAAGTTTTGTATCAATTGCAATTGTTTATTGTAAATACTAAAATCAGACCCAGAGGCTGGGAATTACGCTTTGGATATAGTCAATAGAACGAAAAATTCTGTCATAGATGTAGCCGGCAAAGCTCTAGATCGCGTCAAAGACGTTGCTGATCAAACAAAAAAGGGATGGGAAAATACTAAAGATCAAGCGGACATTCCGGAGTGGATGCAAAGATTCTTAACTATAAGTGAAGAAACTGGCTATGACTATGGAGGTGACAGGAACGAGCAGCCCCCAAAGAAGAGTAAATTAGGAGCAATTTCTGCAGGAGCATCTGTGGCGACATTAGGGTACGGTTTGAAAGATGAAGAAGATAATGAGTTAAAACAAAATGTCGGTCAAGACGACCAAATGATGGTCCTGACCAAGAAAATGATTGAAATTAGGAGTATCTTACAGACCGTTGGACAGTCTAATACACTATCTCTTCCCTCAATCGTGGTAATTGGGTCACAATCATCCGGTAAAAGTTCCGTTTTGGAAGCTTTAGTTGGGCATGAGTTTCTTCCCAAAGGCCTAAATATGGTTACAAGACGACCGATCGAACTGACCCTCGTCAATACCCCTGAGTCTCAAACTGAATATGGTGAATTTCCAGCCCTCGGACTGGGAAAGATTACCGACTTCTCTCATATTCAACGAACCTTGACAGAGTTGAATATGGCTGTACCTAGCTCGCAGTGTGTATCAGATGACCCCATTCAACTCACTATTGCATCACCTCACGTCCCTGATCTCTCATTGATTGATTTGCCTGGCTATATTCAGGTAGTTGGGGAAGATCAGCCATCGGAGCTAAAGCAAAAAATCGCCGACCTTTGTGATAAATATATACAACCACCGAATATTATTCTTGCCATATCAGCAGCTGACGTTGACTTAGCGAATTCAACAGCCCTCCGAGCAAGTCGGCGAGTAGATCCCAGAGGCGAACGCACAATTGGAGTCATTACCAAGATGGATCTCGTGAGCGAAACACGTGGCGCCGCAATCTTAAAGGATAAAAAATACCCATTGCGGCTTGGCTACGTTGGAATTGTATCCAAAATTCCAACTCAGGCAAGCAGCTTGTTCAAAATAGGTAATGAAAACATTTCGGCAGCCATCGCTAGGAATGAGCGCAACTTTTTCTCCGCTCATCCCTTAGAATTCGGGGAAAGTTCTAACGTAGCTGTTGGCACTACTACCCTGCGCAAAAAACTTATGCAGGTTTTGGAACAAACAATGGCTGCTAGCCTTCAAGGCACAGAGGATCTCATCAGACAAGAGCTTGAAGAAGCAACATATGAATTCAAGGTTCAATACAACGACCGGCCGCTTTCTGCTGAATCATATCTAGCTGAAAGCTTGGACGCATTCAAACATTCATTTAAGGAACTCACTGAAACTTTTGGTCGACCTCAAGTCCGAGCCCTACTAAAAGAAGAATTGGATCAAAAGGTGATGGACCTTCTCGCTGCAAAGTATTGGAACAAGCCAATTGAAGACTTGCAACCGCCACTCCCCGAACCTGATTCTCTAGCTGACCTTCCAAATGCAAATCCAGATTCATTGTACTGGCGCCGAAAGCTTGATGCTTCTACTTCAGCTTTAACTAAACTTGGAATTGGTAGATTAGCCACAACAGTGGTAGCTAACGAAATTCGGTCACAAGTCGATCGACTTATTTCACAATCAACTTTCTCTTCGCACCCGTTTGCTCGACAAATAATTACAGAAGCTGCCTCTGGGATTCTCAATGAAAGATTTTATAGCACATCAGATCAAGTAGAAAATTGCATTAAACCATTCAAGTTTGAAATAGACGTTGAAGATAATGAGTGGGTGCGTGGTCGGGAAAATATATCTGAAGTTATCAAAAAAGAGTTGAAAGCTTGCGAGGATGCCGTTAAAAACGTAGAATCGCATGTAGGCGGACGGAGAAAGCTGAAGGACGTCATGAGCTTTGTAGAAAAAGCAAGGAAAGGTGAGGCTGGAATTTTAGGCGACGCGACAAGTGGCGCAGGAGGCTTCTCTAGTGCTCTTTTGCAAAAAGGTATGCCGATTTCTAAACTTTTGGGGGGAATCTGCTATTCTAATCAGGTAAAACTAGGTAAAGAGGCTATTTTCTTGCATGATCGTGCTACCCTTCTACGTATGCGGCTCAACGCGCTTCGTTCTAAACAATGCGCATCCAAAGGCTCACGCTACCAGTGTCCAGAAATATTTCTTGACGTTGTGGCTACAAAATTAACTTCAACCGCAGTACTCTTTCTGAATGTTGAGTTGCTTTCCGAATTCTATTACAACTTCCCCCGTGAACTTGACGTCCGGCTCGGACGCGGTCTAGATAAAGAGCAAGTTGAGCGGTTTGCAAACGAAGACCCTAGAGTTCGTGGCCACTTAGAGGTCATTCGTCGAAAAGATTTACTGGAACTAGTGCTTCAAAAAATGGAGGGTTTAAAAGACCTCGAAGTTGAAGAAAGGGGTAAACGAGTTGCATCTTCTAGAAGAGTAGAAAATCGATCTATCCAGAATGATAAGGGACGCGAAAGGCCATGGAGTCTCTTTTAAACCGAGAAGTCGCCTGATAAAATAATATCTTGAATTGAAATAGAGCAAATATATGACGATTATGACCTAAGGCAGGCGTCGCTAAATCTAAATGCGCTCGGGGAGTTTGGGAGTAAGAAGCAACGATATTGACGCAATTTTTATCCAATCTTTGGAGAAAAAATATACCGCTGCTACTTCGAGCCATGGTACAGAATTTGTTGGTCTAGAACCATTGACAGCAAGGGCGATAAGATTTTCACCGGTCATACTACTCCTCTTCACCAGTAATTACAGTTAGCAAAGCAGATATCTTCGTTCAGGGCCTATATCATTTTGCACGCGTGGATCCACTATATCACTTTCTCTCAATAATTTTTCCTACTAACCCCCAGGACTCAATCCTTCCGGATATAAATATCTGTAGGATACAGATTGTAACAGTATGACATGAGAGAAGGTGAAAGTCGTCCGAAAATGTTAATAATATTAAGCAGTTAACACGTAAAAGGTTGCTTCATGTTGTGGACTATGATAAGTGATTAAATTGATTTCGGCGGGAACCCTGATACCTTTCATTTACGTTTGTATCGGCAACTAGTGAGATGCAAAGGTTCTGGTTATATGGCTTTCCTTGTCGATGGAGTGAAAATGTATTCAAAAGATATACCTTTATTTAAATACGACCTAGACTATTGTTGTGACGGAGATGGAAATAGAACAGTGAAAATGATTGTCGAAGTCAAATATGTTATATTAGAATGTCTACAAATAGGACAACACGACTGCTATCTGGCTCTAAAAATACAAATAAGGTTTATGTTAAATGACAAGTGTGTTTGGTTGGTGTAAGGCCTGGCCGGGTTAATAATATTATTAATTCGTTTTATTGTCCTGTTTGAGTCTATGACTATGTAGTACATGCAGGTCCTCTCTGTCTACAGGCCAAGGATACCTATACCAGTAGTATATCCCCCCAATGCCTTCCAAAAAGCTCCCCTCAAACGGTACCACCCCTCACAAGTCCTCATTCGATCATACACTTAGAGGAGCCCTTTGCCCTTCATTATCTCCCCTCTCCAGCCAACGAATCGATGGCCATTTGCGGGTGTATGGCGGCCGGGAAATGTCGCCAAAAAACCACTTGGTGCGGAGTTCTTCTAATACCGACATTAGGATTAGATCCGAAGACATAGTGACCCTTCCGAAGCGTTCGAAGAGGCCGGCCAGCTGATTGCTGCAGACTTGTGGGTACCTCGGAGAATTCACCCTCTGCCGTTCTAGCCTCCTTCCAACTCCTTCCCGAAGGTCGTGATGGAACGTCAGAAAAGTCATAACAGAGCGTGATTGCTGTATAGTAGCTTAGCCCAACTTCTTTTGTGCCATCCAGGGCGCTGGAGAGTGCCGTTGACTCATCAACAAAAGAAGCCCTGGCTAAATAGCCGAACCTTGGTCTTGGCGCCCACAAAAAATCCAAGACTGAAAACCCTCCAAAATGTCAGTTCCAGCTTGGTCTACAGAGACCTGTTCCCCCTCCCGTTCCACATCTCAGCCGCCTGTCCTCTCTCAAGATGTATAACCCCATCAGAGCATCAGTCCCCCATAAACCAAGACCACAACTTTGTATATTATGACTTAATTTCCTCCTTGCGAGTTGCGTAGCGTCGTAAATTTGTAGTGAGTGATGATCGGCAATGATTGAGGCAAGCTCCTGTTTGCAATTGGAACAACTTATTTACTGGTCGTTGAGGCGAGATGATGCGTGGTTAGATATGGGTTGAGGACTCAGATGATAATGATGAGTGCTGCATGGTTGAGAAGTCGTCAAATGGAGAGACGCATGTTTTTGCTTTCGACTTCGATTCGGATGCGATTCTTCCTGGCTATCCCAGATATGCGGAGCATACTGAGCGACTACACCGGCACCACTGGAAGGTGAAGAATTCGTCTTCGCCAGCCGTAACCGAGTTAGTTAAGGACAAACTTAGGAGTCGCGTCAATAACGCTACTCATGCAGATCAGTCGCGTGGAGAAAGTCTGTACTTAATAGTTTTGAGTCTATCTCACTCTTGTGAATATATCACTATCGCTTCCCATTCTATCTGACCTCCTTTCACTGTGCTAATTCCCTTGTCTTCTATACAGTTATACAGCTATAGAAGGCCTCCCAATTTAATAGTGTAGATGTTAAACGTTCATGGATAAATGTCGTGAAACCTAGAAAGTAATATGATGGTGAGTCCCATGCCATAAGAGAGATGTGATATTTTTATTGTACTACTTGAGTCATAGACTTTCTAGCAAATTGAGCTCCTCCCTGGCCCAAGCCACACCTTGTACAGTGTTCCTTGTCTCTCATGTTATTCGAAAGAACATTGATATATTGCCCTTGATAATAGCCATTCGGCTCAGTGTTTATCCGTGGAATTCAGCCACCTTTTCTACAAAACCTTCTACCCAAGAAAAAATAGTAGCAATGGAAACTTCGTGCGCGAAAAAAGTCTCAAAAAACCTATAGGCCCAGCCAGACGAGGCCTAGATACCGAGACCACATGAGGTGCGCATATTCATCTATATCTCCCTTCTTTGTAACAATCGAGGTCGACTTGATCCAATCCACCATCGCCGTATCGGGAACTGGGTACGCTCCGGAAACTCATCGGATGATTTTTCCCCCATGATCAAGAGTTGGTATCGAGAAGGGCTCTGGCCCTACCATCTGATCTGATCGAGGTTAGCTTTATGATAATGATGATTGGGGGATGTGTTGAGAGATGAAGACAATACAGACGGCGAAAGTGATTGGGAATCCTCATCGAAGTGAGGAGGGTATTATTCAATCTCGGCTTTGCAGACTCTACAGTGAGAGCTGGAGCCTTAATGGTAAAATTCCATTAACACTTCAAGTATTATTTAACACCACAGTTGGAAAGAATGCACTACTTAGATATCTCTCATCATTTAACTGCCTTTCCGGGGGCACGGAGAAAGAGGGATAGAAAATATTGAATTACACTTGTAAAGGAAGAAACCATAAACAGAAACCATTGATTAGCCTGATTGAATGATATATATTTGAGGAGGGAGGATCAGTGTTAAAACGAACAAAAATATTGTAATATGAATGTTTGAATTCATATTTAAAGTGTCATAGCTAGATAGGCTGAATACACTTCATTCAAAAAAAGAGAGCTAGAGGCTCGTAAGGGACACCACTGACATGTCCTGAGAATATTCCCCCTACCATGCCATAATACAACGTGCTGTTAGGTCGACTTGCTACACGCGTAGGAATTGTGGAGTAAAACTGTTCGTAATGGAGTCTATGGGCCATTGTGTTATTTACAGTACATACATATCCAGCGAGAAAGAGTATTCTTCTACACGCAACGTCTTCTGTCTACACTGCTACCTCATACACATAAGCTAATATCTCTATAGACGTTATCCTTGTACCAATCTTATTTCTCACTCGCTAAGCTTTTACCTCTCCCGTGATTATTATGCCTTACACTGCCTTAATACTACCTCTCCATGGGTTGGATGGTGCAGTGGTACGCCATCCGGGCCGTTCTCCCAAGTAGATACTGGGTAGCTTGAACACCTACCCCATTCGTGACAGGAGAAAGCTGGTTCGAATCCAGTCGGACCCACACACCACTCTCTCTCGCGGTGATATTGTACTTGCGGGATGATGAAAGCACACTTGGATAGCCACAGGTTTTTCTCGCTTTTCCCTGTGGTGGGTATGCACGGAAGAGGTTATACGCCGTAAGGGTTAATCTCGAGTGGTATCTGCAAATGAAATCTGAGTGTGAGTGTTCTAAACGTCAAATTGAGTCATCCTACGTAAAGTACATATCTTCCGATAAAAACCTGCATGGGCCTCAAGGCGCCAAATCAGGATAATGAATGATAATAATAATACTACCTCTCCATAGAAATCAACACTGCACTTTACAGGTCTAATATCTCGTAGCCTAGGTAAAGCCGGTCGTACAGCTGCTTGAGAGGAGATGTGGAAAAGGCGCAGGGCATTTATCTTATTGAAATAAATATCTGTTTATATTTTCTGCGTGTAGATTAGTCGACAAAATTAGGTTACAAGGTTATAAGGAGTCCTTCGAGAACAGAGACCAGGTTCAAGCCGATTGGGTGTAGGGCGTAGGCCTGAGACGATAAATTCAAACTAAATGTCGATCCCACCATTCTCATTTGAATCCTCATCCTCTACCTTACCATATACAATCTCACCTCAACCACCGGTAAAGGAGTTTGTTTTTGCATCAGATTTTAATTGCGTATGCAGCTATCTAGCTATGACACGATATTAGAGGAGTGTATAACAGATGACTCAATTTAAAAGAAGAGCACTCGTGCCTCAGATTTCATTTGCAAGTACCACTGCAAAGTTATGGCGGCTTTTTCTTCACCCCAAGTGAACCCTTATCCGTGAATACTCACCCAGGGAAACGTCTCAAAAACCCTGAGTTATCCAGACATGCATCCATCATCTTTCAACTTTTCTCCGCGCGAAATATGGTCTGAGGCGTCTCCTTCCCAAGTGGAGTAGGTGCCCAGGCTACTCAAACTATACCGGAGAACACCAGCAGGAGGTGGATCACGGCACCTTCCATCGTCGACTTGTGTTTATATTGCCAGCTGCATTCTCGCGAGCGAAGCCTTGGCGCGCACAAAGCTCAATTCGTAAAACTCCCTGCCAAAATTTCAAAATTCACGCTCGTCAAAATTGAATCCATCCTCCGTGTCATCTTGTGAACATGTCCTGATCCCTCTCATGTCCATCCTAAAGAACTGTCTCCTAGATTTGTGCGCCACGCTTTGCCTCCTCCGTCGGGTGTATATATTGGCGTGGGCGTGTATTTTGTGACCAGCTGAGGCCAGAAAATATTCGACAAGAGGTGTGGTCATTGGAACGAGAATGTTCTGAGTCATTCTTGTAGACTTGATGAGACTCAGTCAGGAGTCGAACTCGGGAGTGAGAATTCTATTTCGTAGAGGGACTTTGATCATTTTCTCGTGGGCCAACTCGTCCGGTATCAGTTCCTTGCTCTTATCTCAAATCCGGGAGAATATTCCGTTCCCCGGTTCGCAGAGAGCACCGCGTGCAGGTGTTCATTATCATTGAGGATCCAGGACTCCGGATCCGAGCTAAACACCAAGTCCCGATCCTAAGCGAGGCGGCGAGATTCAAGGCCACAACGAGATTACAACCCTCGCATTCCTTGATCACAATCGAGGCCGCTAAGCGCCCCAATCATTCCCCTCTGGATTCTGATAGTTTACTATCCCATGAACTGATGATCGTTACATTTTCTGAGGGGTGGGGAGTTTCACATTACTTAAAGAGGGGTTATAAAGTTATTAGAAATAGAAGTTTATACCTAGTCTCGAGGTCTACACACATATAGGTTGTCGTAGTCGGAGCCGCGAGACACCCATGAATTTCGCAGTCAATATTTATCATTTAACTCTTACTTACGTGCAAAGAGCTTGTCCCTCAATATCTGTAAGAACAAATTTTGGCATCTTCAAATTTAAATTTCTCAAATGTAATTAGAACCTTTAGTTAGATTCACAAAGTCCTCCATAGTCTTAGACTCAGTAGGGAACATAATAAAAAAATCTTAATCTCTTGCTTACGTGCAAAAGAAACCTCATAGCCGCCGACTCTTGGAAGTTCAAATGAGACATACAACACTTATCTATGACGTTATATTTTACATCTTTATTGTGGATCACGTAGTTAATGTGATTTCTTAAACGGTATTTGTGAAGGACTGGCTATTTGCCTCCACCAGGTGCGAACATGACTCATCTGGATACGTTCACCTGATGTTGGTAACAGCCAAGCTACAACTATGTCAACGGTGGCCTTAGAATATTTTTTATTATCCAGAATCGGCATCGTTCATATGAACATAGACCTAAAGACTAACGCACCATGTCGAATCGCTATCTGGAGTGGTTGGCAGAATGTTTGTCATGTAATGCGTCTTCTTCGCTGACTGCTGGGCAGTCTTGCAATGAAAATTTGTCCTTTCAAAAGGTGGGCAATCAAAAATTCCCCCGATGACGTCCCCGAAGGAAAGTCAACGACTCCCGACTCCTCGCTGTGCAATGAGGGTTTAGAGTCGCCACCAGGAGCATTGATGATCGCTCTGGTGTCAAGAAGGTAAGTATGAAGGTAGGAGAAGTACGCGGATTCAGCCTTTAGTTATACTCTCATATGGGTCCCAGAACCGAGGCGGCCGCACTCGGAATTCAGCAAACAGGGCATACAGCCTTCCCAACGCCAAGAATTTTCGATACTAGCTTGGCGAATGAGAGTGCAGGAAGAGGTCAGTCGGAGGGCCTGATGAGGTTTCTTGTGCACGTAAGTAAGAGATTAAGATTTTTTTATTATGTTCCCTACTGAGTCTAAGACTATGGAGGACTTTGTGAATCTAACTAAAGGTTCTAATTACATTTGAGAAATTTAAATTTGAAGATGCCAAAATTTGTTCTTACAGATATTGAGGGACAAGCTCTTTGCACGTAAGTAAGAGTTAAATGATAAATATTGACTGCGAAATTCATGGGTGTCTCGCGGCTCCGACTACGACAACCTATATGTGTGTAGACCTCGAGACTAGGTATAAACTTCTATTTCTAATAACTTTATAACCCCTCTTTAAGTAATGTGAAACTCCCCACCCCTCAGAAAATGTAACGATCAGCAGTTCATGGGATAGTAAACTATCAGAATCCAGAGGGGAATGATTGGGGCGCTTAGCGGCCTCGATTGTGATCAAGGAATGCGAGGGTTGTAATCTCGTTGTGGCCTTGAATCTCGCCGCCTCGCTTAGGATCGGGACTTGGTGTTTAGCTCGGATCCGGAGTCCTGGATCCTCACCATCATCCGAGATAGTAGCTTCTTAGTCCATAAACACAGCAAAGTCGAAAACACTCGAAAAATGTAATTCCAAGCATACTCACTTACAACCTACACTCCGTCGTCTTATTTCCCAACTGTCTATTCTATTCCCAGTTGTTGTGCCCCATAAGAGCAACAGACACCACACGACAAGATTCGAGCTCTGCACATCATGACTTATTTCCTTCTTGCAGATAGACATATCTCCGTAATTTGATCGTGGGAGATGGTCGGTGATCGAAGTGGCTAGCTACCGTATGCAATTAGAGTAACACGTTTGTTGGTCGTTGAGGCAAATTAGTGTATTATAAGATGAAGTTAGAGGACTTGCATGAGAATGACAAGACCGATATGATGAGAAGTCAGCGATTCTATACATGCTTGTATATGCTTTCAACTACGATTCGGATGCGATTCTTCTAGGCTATCCCAGATACGCAGAGCAGGCTGAGCTATTAGACCGGCGTCGCAGGAAGTTGACGATTTCGTCTTTGCCGGCTGTTACAGGGCTTTAGCTTGATACGATAAGTTATTCAATTCCTTCATTACATGACTAGGGAGTCGATATTTCCTCAATAACTCTTGTATTTTTCAGTCTTATGCCTAATATTACGATACGACGGGGGACTATCCTCAACATCTGTCAGCAGTGTCCTCTACAAACCTCCAGCTCTCATTGTAGAGTCTGTAGAGATGAGATTGAAGCTCACCGTCCTCACTCCAATGAGCTTCGAGTATCGCGATGATGGATTGGATCAAGTTAACACTTTCGTTAAATAGAAGGAAGATATAGATGGATATGCGAAACTCACGCGGACCTGCTTTCTAGGCCGCGCCGGGCTGGGACTGTGGGTCTTGGGATAATTTTTCCAGTGTATGCAGTCTAGTCACGACTTAAGAAGGAAAGCACTCTTGTAGGCCACTATTGCGTTGGCGGTGTAAGTTGACGCTGTCGAACTAAGACTACGAGATAGGACTAAGTATATAAATGTTTAGTGGCAGGTGGCATGTGAGACCGGCCGCGAGTAAATTGGCCGTAACTAGTCTCCATTGCTAACTCTTTCTTTTTTTCAGTTAAGAGTTTTGTGGGGAATGCGACTGAAATCTACGAGTAATTACCGAGCTAGATAGTAATCCATCACGGGGATTACAAAAGATATAATTTCGTAACAAAAGAGAACAAGAGTACTTTACAAGGTGTAGCCTAGATTAGAGAAGTGTCAATTGTGCTGAATCGCCATGGAATCAAGGAGAATAAATATTAGTACCGATGCAAGGCTAGTGTATTAACTAAATTTACATATCAGGCTAAAGTCCCATAGACAGATGGGCTACAAGACCAGTCAAGCTCGCGTGGGTTACCTCACATGGAGTTTCCTGCTCGCTCACACAGTTTCTTGCTCCAAGATATGTTGTACGTGTAAAATCACGTGCTGGGATGATGAAAAGATACGCTATTAAAAAAAGTACTGGACAAAGATTTACCGAAATAATATTCAACTTGCCATCTTATCTTCCAGATGAGATAAATCATATATAAGCCTGCACCCAGCAGAGGAAAGTTTGCCAGTGTCCTCTCGAAACAGCCAGTCTTCAGCGTAAATTTATTAGGCTTCTTAACACTGACACGCTTGAGAAGATGGCATGTGAATTAAACAACTGTTGCATCCTTTGTAAGCTTTCGAGTGTTAGTTGCAGTAAACAGACTTTTCACAGAGCGTTCGAGAATATTATAATGGCCACAGGCGGATTTTATTCCGTCATCTTCGAGACGGAAGTGGACATCGTTTGTCGCAAAATCTTTATGGTCTAATCTTGCCGCTATGGCTCTGAGTAGCGAATATCGGGACAATGCAATTTGAGGAAGCATCCATCTACTAGGAATTATGAATTATTCGTAAAGTTATCGAGACACTTCCTATAACAAGTACCTTGTGTAGTCGTGATATAACTTCTTTGAATTCATGAGCACGTGTTTTCGAGTACATTTGTGAGTGCCAATAAGTTTGTTAACGCAGAGCAGATGATCCTCGTGCGTCGATCAAACTTTAGGTATCTTAGCATATGATTTAACTCAAGTCACAGCCGTTTCATTCTGAAGGTTTTGATGAACTCTTCTATCTGTTGATTGGCATTGAATTAGGTCATATGGCATTATTGGGTCGTGAATCTCGTGCAAGCGTATGCCGCTATTTGAATATGCAGAACGAGGGCATAGAGAAAACAACTCATTATGATCATCTATCGTTACTTTACTTACTGCAGTAATGACCTGTAATCGTCCTACATAATTACCGTTTCCACTCAATTTGCGCTGGACTAGACCTTTATCATCTCGAGCTAGCTTAGAGTAACTAGTAAAGAATTAGGGGTATGTTTGAAAACCTGAGGCATGCTTACTGGTAACACAGGACCCCTGCATAGCTTTGGAACATTGAATCAAAATGCTTGTATCAAAACAATATTAATTGGACACCATCTTAATTTAGTGACAGTTGTAGCGATTTGTCAATTGAAGAAATATTAGCCTGGATGCAGAGATGCAATCAAAAATCCCAGTACTTTTGCGCAATTCATGTTAAAAACCTCGACATATTTCGTGCAGCACATTACTTTTTGGAAAATAGCTGCATTGATATTAGTACAAGGTTCCATTATCATGTAAGTGCCCCACGTATAGTAGCGTAGTTTATTAAGTGTCTTGCTAATCTATTCAAAAGAAAACGTACACTAGTATCCAGTTTAGAAGGTATCTTAATTCGGATCTATCAGAGCAATTCAGACTCAGGGGTATCATAGGAATCTTTACATATGTGCTCTTATTTGATGCCTTGAGGGACTGCAAATTTCATCTGATTGATAGCAGCATAATTTTTGCGAGATATTTCTTGGCACCATGTCTCGGCTTCAACATTGTGGAGACTAAAATTTGAAGTCTTAGCTAATGGGGCTGTTACAGCTAAACTGGGTTTGACCTTTTCATTTGCGACAAGGCCTTGATCATGAACGAATTTGGTTGAACGTGAATGTGAGGGGCTTGCATCATAATATTCATCAATTATGGGATGTACCATAACGGTTTGGTTGTGAATTGTCAACACCGAATTTGTTGGAACAGTTACCCAACTATCTTATGAAGTGTTAGCTAGGGATGTGGGGGTAGGACAGCGTAATACCTCTTTCAAAAGTCAGCGGCTCACTGGCTACCAAAACAATGTCTGATCCTTTATCGCGACGATCCATTTGATATTCTCCCTTGCAACTCTTGTCTTCCCAGCATGTTCCTGAAGAGTAATATAAACTAGCAGCTTGATCCGTGTGACTGCTTATATATCGGGTGCAGATCACGCTGTGGCCATCTGTGACGACAAAGTTGAGTAAACTACGAGTATCGATATGCTCGGTCTCTTTGACACTATCTGGAATATTTTTTATCATTTCGTTTATTTGCTGGATAGTTTCGAGCATAACTTTCCTCAGAATCGTTGGGCCGAACCCTTCTGGCGGTGGATGGCTAGGGTTGTGACCCATACGTTCGAGAGTGTCAAGGTAGAGAGCAAAAGCCCACTCACTATCAGTTGAACCTTGCACACCAAGATACCACTTGTCTTTCAAACGCTGCCCAAGCTGCCTCTTGATATGTTTCCATGCGCCTAGTCCTCCATTGTGCATCCACATCAAGCTATTGTGACGAAATGGGTGGCAGTTGTCATCGCTGAGTGAGCCCTCAGTTGTGGCGCGGACGTGAGCAAAAATTAATCGAGAAGCAGTCTTAGAGGCAATACGTTGAAGATTGACGCAATTCCAGGCCGGAGTTGTTGAGGTAAAGATACAAGGTTCAGACCCGAGTTTGGTGTCAGTGTAATAGCCAATTCCAAAGCCATCTCCTAGTTGGAGTTAAAGTTACTAAATTTCAGAATTGTTGCCTTATGCTTACCGTTAGGAGGGCTTCTAGTGTCAAGGCGAAGCCGAGAATCAAAAGATTGTGTGAGAATTGAATGAGTAGGATCGAGTATTAGTTTTGAGAGCAATATCTCATCTGATCCCTTGTAAACCTAGAAGCAATGAGTTTATCTCCACACTGTCTTTAACTTCACGCGAAGGGGCTACCAAAAATCTACACATTGTCGGCCTATTTGCACACAAATTATCAGGTGTTGCCTTTTGAGCCTGAAGTAATAAAAAATGTTTCGAACGATGTTGAATAAACTATATGGCACAAGCAAACGCATGAATGTATATAACATAAAATTTGATTAGGAATATATTGTAAGTGGGGCTATCACCTGATCTATTCTGCACGGTAAACTTATCCTTGCTTTGATGATAGAAGAGCACGCAATAAGCTCGCTCAATGTCAATACTTCGTCGCCCAGCCATAAGATGAAAGAAACTATTCTATGATTCTGTCGTGGTTGACGCATTTACATCATTTCTGTCTGACTCACAACCACGAGTGCTACACCAAATAACAAGATAAGTATCTGACGATTTCACTCCACGGATATTAAATTCTTGACTTTACAACTCGATCGGTCACCCAATGTGTTAGCCTATGACTCAAGAAGTATAATAAACCCAAAAACATACAGTTGACATTGTCCACAGCTCTTAACGTGGACGAAAAATCATATACATGATGAAGGCCACAACGAGCAGGATTCCGGGCGAGAGGCGCTGATACTGGACGGTCATATTAAAATTTTCTATGTTTAGCTAACTTTCCTGCCAGATTCAGTTCAAAGCTGAACTGACTCCGATTTAGCTAGTGTTTGTTCGTTAAAATGCAGGGCAATTGGCACTCTCCGCACTCCTACTGGAGGTTAAGCACGGGTGGGGCCGGATCAGGTTAACTACTATTAAATACAATGAAGCCTTGTTCCGCCTGAATGACCAGATCACCTTAGACTTCACCCATGTGTTGAATCATACCGAGCCCGACCGTCCAGAAACCCGCTGTGTAAATGCCGTAGAGCAAATTCTTCCTCAGCCTCGGTCAACACGCGCTGAAGCCCTTGACATCCTCACTGACTCGGAAATATAAATTTCGTCCTTGATCTTATCGTTGCTCTGGCCTTGAACCTTGATATGGTACCGTTGGGTTGTCGTCGTCATTGGAGATCTGAACACCTGGGAAAATGTGTGATCCCCTCGGTATATGTTCCCCGTTTTTCTTCCTATTTATACGCCCTATTTCCATCATATCTTTCCAGATTAGAGCGTGTGTAGTTAGGTGATGTGACGAGTATGGCTGTGTGTCGCAGGTATAGGATAGTCTGAGAAATGCTTCGTCGTAAATATATGAGGAGTTAGGGAAAGATTATTTTGCTTGAATACGACCCCTGAGTAAACCTAGGTCTATTTGTGAATCGTAAGTTGGTAGTGATGAGTTTTTGTTCAACTTCGTTCCGGCTGCGAAATCTCTGCTAACTCATTTATTGACCAAAATAACGAGTACAACTCCTCCAAGACTAAAATCTATCAAATAGAGTTCATCCCGCCGTTATTTGAGACTAAATCACGGGTAGGAGAGAATATTTCGCTACCAGGTTCATAGCGGACACTACTGACAGGTGTTTAACCTTCGTCCTTCTGACTTACGTAGTGGACTAACACGGTTGGAATTAGTCAGGCCTGTGCGCGGTGATCTCCCCGACTCCACCGGTCCTGTACCCAAAGCGGACCCAGCGCGTTAGCCTAGGACTTTTTTTTGCATCAGATTTTCATTGCGTATGCATCTATCTAGCTATGACACAATTTTTTTTTTTGCATCAGATTTTAATTGCGTATGCAGCTATCTAGCTATGACACAATATCAGAGAAAAGTAAAGAAAAGATGACTCAATTTACAAGAGGAGCACTCATGCCTCGGATTTCATTTGCAAGTACCACTGCGGAGTTATGGCGGCTTTTTCTTCACCCCAAGTGAACCCTCATCCGTGAATACCCACCCAGGGAAACGTCTCAAAAACCCTGAGTTATCCAGACATGCCTCCATCATCTTTCAACTTTTCTCCGCGCGAAATATGATCTGAGGCGTCTCCTTCCTAAGTAGAGTAGGTGCCCAGGCTACTCAAACTATACCGGAGAACACCAGCAGGAGGTGGATCACGGCACCTTCCATCGTCGACTTGTGTTTATATTGCCAGCTGTACTCTCGCGAGCGAAGCCTTGGCGCGCACAAAGCTCAATTCGTAAAACTCCCTACCAAAATTCTAAAATTCACGCTCGTCAAAATTGAATCCATCCTCCGTGTCATCTTGTAAACATGTCCTGATCCCTCTCATGTCCATCCTAAAGAACTGTCTCCTAGATTTGTGCGCCACGCTTTGCCTCCTCTGTCGGGTGAGAATATTGGCGTGGGCGACTATTTTGTGACCAGCTGAGGCCAGAAAATATTCGACAGAGGTGTGGTAGTTGGATTGAAGATGTAGTTGGTCGTGCTTGTACATTTGATGAGACTTAGGCAAGAGTCAACCTCGTTGGGAGTGAATGTTTGAATCGTTGCTTCGTGGGCCAACTTTTTTAGTATTGCGAAATTTGACTGAGTATGTGAGTATTGTACTACTTGAGTCTATGACTATCTAGCAAATAAAGCTTCTTCTTGGCCCAAGCCACCCCTTGTACAGTGCTCCTTGCGTATATAGTTTCTTGAAAGATCATTGATATATTCTCCGTGATAAATATCCATTTGGCTCAGTATTTACCCGTGGAATTGGGCCATCTTTTCCACGGAACCTTCTACACAAAAAAATAAAAATGGTAGCAATGGAAACTGCGTGCGCGAGAAAAAGTCTCAAAAAACCTGCAGCCCCAGCCAGGCGAGACCTAGACACCGGGACCATATGAGGTGCGCATATTCATCTATGTCTCCCTTCTTTGTAACAGTCGAGGCCGACTTGATCCAATCCACCATCTCCGTATCGGGTGCTGGGTAAGCTCCGGAAACTCATCGGATGGCTTTTCCTCCGTGATCAAGGTTTGGTGATGAGTAGAGTTCCGACCCTACCATCTGATCTGATCGTGGTTAGCTTCATGATAATGGTGATAGGGGAATGTGTTGAGAGATGAAGACGATACAGACCGCGAAAGCGATTGGGAATCCTCGTCGAAGTGAGACTTTGTTAGTCAATCTCGGTCTTGCAGACTCTACAGTAAGAGCTGGGTGTTCGCGGTGGACACCACTGACATGGAAACAGAACAGTGCCCCTATAATTAGCGTAGAGAAGGCTAAAAGCTCATGGCACCGATGGTTCTCGCTTATGATCCGAACTTTAAGTCACATGACGCACAATTGCTCTGCTTGGATGCATTATAGATGTTAGGGCAGGAATCAAGTATAAGTTCCTTGGGAATCTTGCCCTCTCATCTTTCGTGCAACGTCTTATTAATAAACTCCCTTTCGTACCTCGTCATTACTTATCTCCGATTTACTTGTGACTCTGTTCCAACGAGCTTCACCTGTGATATAAAATTATATATTTTTAATTACATGATGTGCTCGAGCAGATCCTTAAGATAGGCTACGAGTAAAACAATTCAGGATGTATAAATGGATCGATCCACTCCATCGTATTGCTCAAGTCCATTTTAAAATCAATCCATCACATCAGCTTTCCATCTATTCTGTCAGTGTATTCACACACAAGCCTCTCCTCAGATGGCGACCACAACATGTCTCCTAACATCGATATCGCAGAACAACTTGCTAAGAAGCCTCTTGGTAAAGCATTGAGATGATTCCTCACCCTTTACAAAAATACTATTTCCGCTCATCAAGCAAAATTGGTCGGAAAGCCTAAAGATGTAAATGAATGTGGAGAGCCAATGGAAGACCTCATTATTCGATTAATACTTTCAAAAGAAGTTTCGACACACCTTCTCAAGTTAAAAAAATTCACTCGCGGTTGAACACAATAGCTAGCTGGATGTAGTATACGGCTTTTTACTACCCCCATTCAAATAAGTAACCAGTTTAATTATGAATGATGCGACTTATCTTGAGGTTTGGAACTCACTTATGCAGCTTGTCGGTCAACTTAAAACAATAATGTCAGCTACAGAAGATCAGTTCGACGAACTAGCTACTGGATTCATAGACCGACGAGTCGTAGAATCATATGACAGCGCAAAAATAAATATGAAGGAATTGAAGCAAGCTATGAGCAGAGAGCTGGAAGGCTCGGTGCTTGCGAACATGATTGGCTTTTGGGTAAATATTTTGAGTCGAAACGTATAAAGGTCGAGCGTGGCGGCCTTAATAAGAAACTTGCGGAAATTTCGGCAGAATCCAAGTTCCAATTCCCCGCTATCCCAACTGAAGATGCGGTATAGAAATGGATGCAGGTTGTCGAATATGACCTAATCAAAGCCTATCGAAATCCCACTGATTCAGCAACAAATGACGCTGCAAGTACCGCAGAAGAATGGGTTGGATTAGCTTTCACTGGAGCTCAGATTAACACTCTCGCCGCCGGAAAAATTATTGGAAACCAGACAAAGCGACAGGTAGATTATTTCATTGAAAATCGAAACCTTCCAATTGAGGTCCAGTACCATTGGCTTGATATTCTTGTAGTGGGTGAACTTACGGTATCTTTGTCGAAGGTTTCCCGACAAAAGTTTCTTCAGCTCAGTGTATACATGCAGGAAGTGTTCATGGCTCAGTCTCTTCGTCGTTTCGTGCACGGGCTCATCCTCTTTAAGAAAAACTTGCAGCTCTGGGCGAAGATCTGTCTGGGGCGTATTCCTGATCGCACATCGATATTAGCAAGTCATCACAGAAGCTCGTACATGTCTTAGTTACGTACATGATGATGAACTACAAAGAACCCCGTCTAGATCCTAACGTAAAATACGAAGTTGAAGATATGACAGTACATCTAAAGGTCCCCTGGTCGGGTGAGTTACGAAAGTTCATCTTGGATATAGAACGAATCGCTTAACAGAAAGAAAAATTTTATATGGGAACAAGTTGTTACTGAACTACAAACTAAAGGTGTATGTTTAAATTCTCGTAGAGGATACACGGTGGTTTCAGAGGTCAAGCTTCTTGGGGTTACGGACCAAAAACCGGGCATGGCAAAGACTTTTGGCTCTCTTGATCTAGTGAAAATCAGCCAGCT